TGTGGAGCAGCATCCCCCCAGAGATATGGACAGTGCCCTCTCTCTTTGGATTCCATGAAACACTTAAGATCTAGTATTGGTATCAGGTCTACAGTTGATCTGTTTGTAGGGGCCCTCATTTGATTTGATTCTTTTAAATTGTGTGATTGTTTTAGTCCATTTTGTCTGTAGGATTGTATGTTTTTTATCTTTTTTATTGATTTGTATTTGTAAGTAACTCAGAGTCTATTGGAATGGGTGACTGTAAAATATTTTTTCTTGACTTCCAGGTGAGAAATATGAACTACATGCAGGTACTGACTCCACTCCAAGTGTAGTTGTGCACATCTGTGACGGCCATGCAACAGAAGAGGAGGCCCCAAACAATATACCAAAGCCACAAATTATGCAGACTCGACGTCCTAGCCTACCATCCTCTATGTGTAGTTGATTTGCCTCAAGAACATATCTTCTTTTCTTTCCTCCTAGTAGAAGTCAGCCATATCTTTCTGTGTAATCCAGTATTTAGTTTCTTAGCCTATTTCTTGTGTGGTAATGGAGCCTAAGCAACAACAGGGCTCAGAATGTGCTCTTTGTAACCATTTTAATGTCACATTCCTGTAGAGCAGAAGGGGAAGAGGGGATTAGAGGTGGAGGGATTTCCCAAACTTCTTAAGGCTGCAACCTGGGATAAAGTCAACAAGCCATTCTTTCATGGAAACATATATCAGATTTCAGTGCACAAAGTAAGATTCTTTAAATGCTGTTCATTAAATGGAAGTAATAAATTTGGATGCATTGTTCTGATCAACAGTCCCTACATGTTCCAAAACATATTTCTATAAATAGGTTTTTCTCCTTATACTTACTGTGCAGCATAGCTTTCTTCTCTGGGCTTGTAATATCCACCTTGTAATACTCTATCTGCAAGGAAAGGGCCTTGGAGAGCAGAACTGTGGAAGGTTCTATCTGTGAATTCTTGAACAGGCATTCTCAGAACAAACCACAGAAACAAATAGGTTCTCTGACATTAGAAAGTCAGAAATCTGTGCATAGCCTAACTTTTTTTGTTTGCTTGTTTTATAAACATTCTTTTTAATGCACAAATGCAACCAGTGTGAAGTAATTCAGCTACTACTCAAATTCAAATTAAGGCAGTTCAGCCCTTACTGAAATTAACATTATCCTAGTGATTTCATGGATAAGATAAATTATTTGCTGCAGATCCTTATTTCCTTTAACAATGAATTCAGATAGTTGAGTGACAATCACTTTTCAGACTAAAAGAAAGGACTATTCCAAATAAGGTACAGGCTTCTTCAATAATTCAGCACATGATTTTACATATATAGAATTATATAACAGTGAAGTATATTTTCAAATGATTCTCCTCTCTGCAAAAGATTGTTTTCTTTCCTTTTAGTATTAATGAGATTGCCATGCTTCAGAGAAATCCTGAATTAATCAGTTATATCTGTAGCTAAAATCAAAGCACAATTACAGAAATAAATAAAGCAGAAGGAAAACATAATGATGAAAGTAATTATTTATCTTCCTGTTAACATAGGGCATGCTTTTGTAATTATTCTAAACGGGACTCACGGCATCACATGACGTATCACATCGTTCCCCCTTTGTGCAGCTGGGGTGGGCGTGGCCTGTGCATGACGCATCGGCCCGTAGGCCACTCAGCACTCATGTTTTACAGCTGTGATCATGCCTATCTAGCTCCCTTATGTTATTACTCAAGTTACAAAAAAGGTCAGTCTTTCTGTTTGCAGCTACATGGTTCTGGCATTTCCAAACACAGATCAAAGTGTTAGTTGTAACCTCTAAAGACCATATCATTCAGCTCCAGATTATTTTAAGGATCATCTCCTTCTGTTGGAATCTGATCAGTCTTTACATTTAGAAGAAAGGGGTTGGTTACAGTCTTGCCTCACAAGATAACGAAGGATGAACCAGAAGGTACGTTTCTGTAGCAGGCCTACTCAGAACCCTTTATTTTCGGACATGTGTCAGATACCCTCCTGACTTATTTTGGCCACTTGATTATTGTTGGTGATGGAGGTTTGGTTTGGGGTGGTACTCTTTTGTTATCTTTTGTTCCTGATATAGATATGTTTATGTTTGTAAATCATCTGATTGACAATGAAGACACCAAAGTGGTAGATAGGTTCTACCTTTCAGGATCAACCATCAATAGTAAAATAAATATGTTGCAGACTAACACTTGTTAGAGTAGCCATGAAGGCCTTGAAAAATGTGTTTAAATGCTTGATGTGTCTATACCTACAAATATGAGAATTGTTCCAGCCATATTCCCTAGTGACATTTTGCAAAGCAAAAGGTGGACTTTGAAAAAGCCAGGTAGAAAGTCTATTGATGTTTTTGAACTTTAATGTCAGAGAAGACTCCAGAGAATACTACAAACAACATAAAAAGTCCCAAACAAATGTATCAGCAAACAAATTTCCCACCTGAGGCACAAAAGAGAGACTCAAACAATTATACTTAGGCCACATTATGCAAAAGATAATGTGACCCGCAGCAAGACAAATGCATTCAGTTATAATGATGATGGAAGACCTGAAAGAACAAATTACAGATAATCACAAGGGAGAAAAACCCCTGTGATTGTACAATCTGACACCAAATTAATGGCACATAATCAGTCTAATAATCTGGACTCTGAGGAATTGGATGGCAGAGCAATGTTCATAAATAAATATTTTGATGGGGGAATACTAAGAATTACATTTTTTTTCTTTGCACAGGGAAGTGAACAGACATACAATATATATTGCAATAGGTCTGCAATAATCTGTGGTGGATACAAAGGGTGTTCTATAACACAATTTATCAGCTGGAAAGAGCGTTTAGAGTGTGGGTCCTGCCTGCTCTGTTTTTCCCAAAGTCTGCTGGATGAAGATGGCAATATGTATCTCCTGTCCGCAAACTCATGCCCCCTCAATCTTATGCCAGAGTTGTCAGCTCTGGGCTTGGCAGTCGGAAAGGCCTGGATGGATGGATGGATGGTGTGTGTGTGTGTGTGTGTGTGTGTGTGTGTGCACAAAAATCTATTATTTCTTCCTATTCCTCAGACTTACCCATCTTGGAGGTCAAGCTCAGGATTGCAAGACTTCTGTGCAAAGCTATTTATATTGATTAGTTGTATACTGTGATAAATGGTGAGGTTTTTTTTGCATTCTTAGTTTTTATTAAGTTTTACTAACTATACCAACTACTACTTGGTAAGGATTCTATTTTGTTAGAGGTAATATCTATAATTCAGATCTGCAAAAACATCAGGTTTTCAGAGAGAGACCATGAGCATTTAATCTGTTTTAAGACTAGTGTTTTAAGATATACTGTAGCTAATATCCACTTTGAATAAAATACCTCCTAAACAACTCCAGTGGTTTCTTAGAATTTTGTCTTAAATAAATGCTACAAATAAAATGTGCTGTAAATTCAAGGGACTTCATGTTTTTTCTAATAGCATCACCATAGCACCATATACTTTCTGCTTTAACTTGAATGCAGTAGAGGTAGTCCTCAACTTACAACCACAATTGAGTCCAGTTAATTTTGCTGAGATATTTGTTAAGTGAGTTTTACCCCATTTTAAGTCTTTTCTTGCCACATTTAAGTAACACGGTTGTTAAGTGAATCTGCCCCCTCCCCCATTGACTTTGTCATGTTGCAAAAGATTAGATAACCCCAGGACAAGGCAACTGTCACACGTCAGTTACCAAGTGTCTGAATTCCGATCAAGTGACCATGGGGATGCCACATTTGTGTGAAAAAGTCATGTCAGCTTTCAGTGTTGTGGAATGGGTCATTAAATGAACTGTTGTAGGCCGAGGACTACCTGTACAATTGGGTTCTAGAGCTTCTTCATTGGATCTCATCATAGAACACAGCACAAAAAGAGTACTTATAAAGAAATATTAGACCAAATCATGGATGATGATAAATCTATTATTCGCTGCAAGCACAGTACTATATTAGCATAAGCAGCAGTATGCCCTTTTGCTTCTAGGAATTACGGTTATGTAAAGTTTTTGATTGACTTCTCTGGGACTAGAGGGCTTTGCCTTTATCCTGCACTGATTTTCTTAGGTAATAATAAACCACTGGTCCATCTAACTTTTTCTTTCGGGGGAGGGGGTTTCTCTTCAGGTCAGTACCTTTACAAGTCTCTGAAGGGTTTTTTTTTGGGGGGGGGCAAAGATTTCAAAGTGGTTTGCCCGTTTTTGCTTCCTAGGGCTGAAAGTGACTGGCCCAAGGTCATCCGATTTTTTAAAAACCCTTTTCCATAATGAAAAGGTCCCTTCTGGTGCATCCATAGCACACACCATTTAAAAAGTATATAATGAAAAAAAATGTAGCTTTCCAGTTTTGCTATCTGACGTTTCATTTGCTGTCTAGAACAGAATCTATTTCTGTGGCAGATAACATAAGTAAGCTAGAAACACTGGATAGAAAATATTATTATCTTAAACTCAAGATTTCACCCATTCCATTTATAAAAGCAGATATATCAATTAAAATCTCTTAAAATAAATTCTTTAGCAAACCAATTCTGAGCTAACTGAGCCTGAAAAATTCAGACAAACCCTCCACATAATTTAAGTTATGTACAATTTCTTACTGGTAAATTGACAAAAAGCTACTTAAGTCAATCTCTGATTTGAACTAAGACCTTTTCCAAAGTGCCAAATCTGTACCAAAGGGAATCTTGTGATCAGTATCAGGGGTGGGTTGCTGCTGGCATTACTGCCGGTTCACTTCGAGTGCGCTTTGCAATTCAATTCAAAAGACCTACAGAAGTCAAAACTGGAACTTTTATTATGCAATTTTAAGTTTTTAGAAAGGAAGAGAGGGAATCGCTTATAGGAGGCAAGAAAAAATGGTTGTTCTGAATGTTCGTATTATTTTGACTGGCAAGGTTTTAGAACGAATGAAAAAATATTTGAATCTAAAAGTAACAAAGCATAAACCTTAATACTGAAAAATTGAAAGTGTAACAGCCTTTAATCAAAGTCAACGAAGATTGCCAAAATCCCCAATTACAAAGATATCCCAATAAATACAGTCTTTTAAAAAATTATAACATAGTTCAATACTGAAATTTATTTTCCCAGTATAAATTTATCCCTGATAATTGCAGAGATAAATCGCTATTCCCAAAATAGGTAACATTTTTGGTAACAGTAACCAATGGTCTTGACATGAAAGATAATGTACTGTAAAATATTTTTCCCATTAATTTACCTTTTCCTTGATGAACTGTTGGTATTTGAGGTCCATTATCTGGTTAGCCTAATCATTTAAAGGATTTTTAAGCTTTTTGAAGTTTTGCATAATTGCTCTATTTTCTGTTATCTACGTTATGGGAATCAAACTCTGGAAGAGTCCCTGAGATATTAAATTTGTTTAGAACAGGTACAAATATCTCTATACAAACTAGTTATTTAAGTCTTTCCTGTTAGGACATCAATTTTCAAAGCAAAAAAAAACCACCACCCTTCCTATTCCAAAACATGTTTACTTTCTGATAACACCAAGCATTGCTTCTCATTCTGTAATAGAATGATCTTTTGAAAAAGGTTGAGTTTCTCTTTTCTGTGGAAGTGAAATAAATTGAGTAACCCTGAAGAGAAATTGTTTTACTTCTTAAAATACTAAATTTCACTGTAATTTTAATCTAAAGATTCTGGTTTATACCAACAAGTAGAATACCAAACTGCTACCTTAGTAAGAAGAAACTGAGATTGAATGGGCGCCCTTAATCTCTTGCACAAATGCTAAATAGGAAATATCTCTTGGTATCAGAAGCTTCTCACTCAAGTGTCACTATTGCTTAAAGGAGGCACTGAAAAGCTGCTTCTGCTTTTGAGGACTGTCACACAATTATTTAAATAGCACATTGCCTAATCAATAGTGTAGTTCTAGATTTTTTTTTCAATAACTGTTATCAGATAAGTACAGTTATCTCTTCATGGAGTGTTACAAATTATAAGGATTCCACTATCATTTTATAAAGAAGACAAGCAAAGCAACTGAAGTTAAATATGGAACATTTTAAATACTAAGGAAAATTATGTGTCTTCCTATGCATTAAGTACTCTCTTTCCCTGAACTCTAACATTCAGAATGACACAGACAAACAGAAATGGTATTGCATATTATCTGCTTATTACAAATGGTCTATTTTAAATCAAGCAATTATTAGGAATTTAAAAAAACCAGAATCATCTTTTCTGAACATTGAATATACAGTACAGAACCTTATTAATCATATACAAACTGCAAGCAGCAGGAAGTCTTTTCTAATTTTTCCCCTTTGCCTTAGAAATCCCTTTTCTTACAAAATATAATTTATTTTGCAGATTAATTAAAATATATGTATGCATAATACAATCATATTATTAATTCAAACACATGAAACACCTGAATACCTACCAAAAGAGATTGAAAATACCATATCTGTCTAAACAGAGAAAGACAAGATATATTAAACTATGTTTAGAATCGTCCACAGCTTATAGTTATGGAAGAAATTATCGAAGATATCTGCTTTGGGATATTTATAGTAGTAATATGACATGCTATTTCTTTTTGCTCCGTGTAGCTTGAAGATATACCTGCATACACAGTTTTCCAATAGCTTAAAATAAAGGAAACATTAGGTTTGCTGAGATTGGCATGGGAGTGCTCTAGAATTGTGAGTCCTAGCTATTAACAGCTTCTAATTAAACTTTTATAGCAACTATTCCCCAAAATGGAAAACAAATCTGGATAATTTTCACAATTATAATCTTCTTTATAAAGAATTTCATGAGAGTTTATATTTTTTCCAACCAGTTTCAGGGGTATTTGAAATGATAAGCTTCAAAATGGCAGGAATGCCTGGGCAATCAAAGAATTATGCACACCAGAATGAGCAGAGCCTTGGTTGTCTAATTTACCCTGCCTCTTAAAGCTGTGATTGTTGTTGAAGGCTCCTGTCCAATTTCAAGAAATATCACAATATCTTAGAGATAAGCAGTTGCCCATGAAATATATGCAAGCAATTCACTCACAAATAATCTTATTGTTATCACTTAGAAATAAATAAGTTTTACTACTATTAATTTTCTATTAGTTTATATTAGAAAATAAATTCTAGTCAAGATTTCTTTTTCAGAGAGACAATGTTCTTCTTCTGTAGTTTGGTGGATCTTTATTAAAGTGCATCATATTATTTGCCAAAATAACTTAAATTCCTGTATTGTCTTTTCAAAACAGTAGCCAGAACAGGAATCTTATCCTATTAAGGGATCATCATCATCTTCCTGAAGTTGAAGTCTTGAAAATGGACGTAGAGGAGTAGTTCTGTTTTTGGTGATTATTATAAGGCACATCAGCGTAGTTAATATCATAAAGACACCAATAACTATTCCAATTGCTTCAGGAACATTTATGCACCATTGGTCAACTAATAAACACTTGGAATTGCTCAAAGTGCCATTATTAGGCTGGGGTTTCAACCCTAAAATATGGCACATCATTGGATAAATATCAATAGTACGGATTGAATTCAGCCTGTAATTTTTATGGAAAGCAGGTCCATGAGCTGCCAAAAATGGCTGCATACTTGGAAGAGTATCATCATAGCCATGGTCTCCTACTGAAAAATAAAGAAGCCAAGAATTGTTAATGCATTACAAAGGTTTAGCAAAATTATCTTACCTAGTAAATATAATCCTGCCATTACAGAATTATAGCTTAACTTTTTTCAATAGTTTTCTGCTTGGTTAAAAATCCAAGCAGAATTTAAATTTAATATGTCAGTTCATTAAACTGTTAAAATTACATAATGTTCACCAAAAGTATTTCCAATAAAATCAATTTAATATTTAAGAATATTATGACAAATATATTAACTCCAAGGTTGAAGAAAGTAGTTTAACATTATCTCCTATTAAAACAACCTGTTTGTCAAGCTAAGTGTTTCTGCTTTCTGCTACATAATGTATGAGAATACACCTTGTTGTCTCTCATCTCCTGTTTGTCACCCTATAGAATAGTCCCATCGGACAAATAAGTTTCAGGATATTTTTACACTGCTCTCTCAGAATCTAATATTCTGTGGACATCCCAATGTGTGGACTTTCCTCCCTTTTTCCTATTTCAGCAAATCGTGGGGTTTCCTGATATGACAATATCAATCTCTTGTTTCTCAATGGCTTATTTTGACTACGTAAGCTTAGTAAAACATGTGAATTTTCTGTTCATGCTTATGATGTATAATTCTTTTTTATTACAAAACCATATAAAAAACCTATATGTTAAATTCAAAATTTCACTGTAGAAAGGAAGGATATCAAACCAAACATGAAGTTTTAAAAAGGGATAAACCTTTTTAAGTTTCCCTATTGCATTTTAAATTGTTCACGTCTTGTGTAGCTAGCTAACCTAATTGGCTACTATTTCTATAGCTTAGATGAAGTCAATTGCTGAAATCTCTCCCTCCCAATAGTCGTAACCAATATTTTGTGACTGCAGATATCTGTAACTTCCCCCACCCCATCAGAATTAAGTTTTCAGTCATGAAGGGGTACAACTGAAGTATGAAGTATGAACTATGCTAAGAAAGGTCTTCAATGTTGCCCAAATTTACCCCAAAATTTCCTGCTGCTAAATTTTGTATCTGTCTAACAGGAGTGCCTGTACATAGTTTCTCTTCACAATCCTTAGTTTGTAAAGCTGGTGATTGTGCTCCAAACTTCTAAATGAGATGCTACCTGATTTATAACGGCTAATCATTTTTCTGAGGGGATTTTTTTTTTGTCAAACATTCATTTTTAAATATTAACACCATTTCCAACCTGACCACATGCAGCAGTTATGAAAAACAGATGGTTTTGTCCATCACTCCCATACCCAAGTATTTAGTAAGAAAAGGTGACTTTAGGACTTCATATTTTTACAAATAGAGCAATCCAGTTTAATATTGTGCTGAATTTCTGAATACATAGAATTAAGCAAAATATATTAGTTAAGAAAGAATCTAATGCTTAGTGCTTTCAGATATTTTCAAAAGGTTTCTTATTCCAATTTCATTTTAAATTGTATTTTATTCCAATCTCATTTTGAATTGTTTTCATCAGATTTTAGCAATAATTTGTGTTTGGAACTCTGCACTTTGATATGGCCTATGGGCTAATCAATAAACTAAACTCAAGCTCAAAAAGTTTTTATTTTTTAATTCTTCTATGCCCTAAATAACTTTATTCTGCCCCCATCAAAAAGAGAATTATATATTTTAATTAGTAAATGTTAAAAAAACCTTACATCTGGGAAGAGACCCATTCTGTACAATTGTCCAGCCTTCATCTGCAACCAAAATTATTGGTTGAATGCGCTTATTGTGATGGTAATGATATCGCTCAGGAATTTCTTCTTTACGATAAACCTTCATATTAGGGCTGCAGTTTTTCATTAAGTCATATACATGTGTCAAATCTAAAAAACGAAGTATAAATAAGTTGGATCATTTATTTGTTTATCTGTAAAACTTGTTATTGCAAATATAAAAACTGGATTCATATTTCTTAAGAGCTGTAAATTTGTAAAACTTGTTATTGCAAATATAAAAACTGGATTCATATTTCTTAAGAGCTGTAAATTTAATGTGGAGCTCATCTACTCCTATTTTAATATACTTACTTTCAGAAGTAAAATATATATTTCTTAAATAATTAAATCATTCTACATTTTAAGAATGCAACAAGGGACATTGTAAACCTAAAATAT